AGATGAAACCACTCACCCAGAAAGTTCTTCCAGAGATTAAATTGGAGCCCCATGAAGTGGATCAGTTCCTGAACCTCTCTCCTAAGGAAGGTCTGCTAACTACCAAATGAACATGTAGGGGGAGATGGACAGAAAGTACAATAAACGTACTTTACCCTGATTAAATATTTGGATTTCTCATTCACCATGTTAGCTTTTAGGCTGAAGCAGTTGTTTTATAGGGATTCAACTCAGGCTATTGAAGAGCCAGAGTCTCTCTGAGCCTTTATGTGAGGCTTTTTATTTTTTCTTTCTCCCCCCCCCCTTCCCCCCCACCCTTTTCATCACAAAGAAAACGATCCCTTTTCCTGTACAGGGTATTAATAATTGTGCTGAAGGGAGCTTTAATTAATTAAGTACAGGATTATTTAGGATAGAAAAGAAATAAATTTGAGGAGACTTAGTTAAGGTATGAGAAACTTTACTGTTAACCTCCGATGCAAAAGCAGGATGTGAGTTTATATGAGAATAAAAGTTAGGTGAATCTGTTTGTAGCATATTAGTTTTAAGAACAATCATTATGTCTTTTTACTACACTCCAATGTGGAAGGAGGAGCAAAGATCCCTGCCCTGAAAGCTAAACACAATTAAAGCCAAGAACACTTTGGAAGAGCCAAAAATTAGGCGTGAAATCTGAGCAGAGAACTGCATTTCAATTAGAAACACTTGATATTCTGTTAGTGAATTCATTTCTGTAGGTAAGTAGTAGGAAGCTCTAGGGAGACAAGCAAATGATGTAGCAGGTGGATAAAGGGAGGCTGTATCTCAACTCAGGTGTAGATTTGTTTGCTCACTTTATGGGATTAAGGGCCTTTCGGTTTTTCAAATATGTTTCTTCTTCTGGCAACTGCAAGAGCTAGCATGTGAGACAAAAAGAGTATTATAGGTGTTTTTATTACTATTTTTCTTCCATCCTCCCTCACCACCCATTTGATCTTTTCAACTCAAATTTGCAGAGCATAACGGAGGTGGAAGGTGGGAAATTAGCCCTGTATCTTCCTAGTTCAAAATTCAATTCCTGTAAATTTAGCTCAGAGAGAAAGTGACTTAGTTACGGCTGTTTTGAGCAGCTGCTAAATTGTCCATTTAATGAGAGAGGTGAGATGTGCCCCATTTCTCTCAGACCAGACCCATTTGATCGTAAGCAGCACTCTGACAATTCTAGAGCAGGTTCTTTTGGCTGCAGTTGAGGTTATCTTATGGCCCTGGATAGACAGTGTGAGAGAGGCTCCTGTGGTGGCTGCCTGTGCTGCTCCTGCTGGATCTGTGCATTGCAGCCTTTGCTGTCACTAGGCTGTCAGTCACTTCTCAGCTGTGCCAAATCACATCCTTAGGAGACCTTTCTCTTCTTCCTGATGATATGACTCCTTGGATGGGATCCCTTCCCTTGCAAATACTGGGAAATTGTTTAATCCATGGCAAAGTTAGAAAATACTATTGTTTTCGGAGAGAAAGTATGCTGGCTCAGAGCCCCTCTGTTAATGTGGTTTCCCAGGAAGAGGGAACTTGTACTGTGCATTATACATGAGCCTCAAAGCATTTGAAGATGGAGCTGGAGTGTAGGTAGACGTGACTGGAGCATATGCACAGAGCCCTGTTTTGTCTGTCAAACCTAAAGATAGCTGCTGCATTTCATTCCTTCTTTGGAGACCTGCGTGCTCCAAACCTCTTCCAAGTTGCCACTCTTGCTTGATCCATTTTTTAGCAGACACTCCTAGTTTTGGAAACTGTGGTGGTGGCAGCTGTAGTGGCAATTTAAATCAACACCTTAAACCCTTGTGTTACTTTGTCTCTCTTGCCATTTAGCAGTGGATCCCCTGCACTTGCCTCCCACCCCTCCGAGCAGCCATGACAGTGATTCCGAAGGGGCACAGAGCCCAGCTCGATCACTCCCTCCTTCCAGCCCAGTGCAGCTCCAGGCCACGACTAAGGTTGTGTCGCGCACAGCTTCAGTGCTCTCCAATTCCCCTCTCCTGACTGCACCACATGTAAGTTGAGCTGCCTTTCCTCCGCCATTTATCTGTGTCTTTTTTTTTTTTTTTTTTTTTTTTTTTTAATTGACAGAGATTTGCCTACTTTCTGTTGTTGTTTCAATGAATTAATCTCTGGTCAAAACTGCAGATCCAGTAATTCTTGCTCACTGGTCTGTTCTGTTCCCACAGGGAACAGCGTGTGCCTCTCCTCTAAGTTGGTACAGGGTTCACTGGTGTTATTAGGTTTATCCCATCATGGACTTGTGTTTTGCCTTAGAGCCCAGCCCTGCTGGGTTGACCTGTATATGGTAGATCTGCATCTGTCCTCTTGTCACATCATTAGCAAGTGGTGATCTTTAGGGAGGGATTTTCAGTAGTGTTTCTCATATGTCTTTTTCCCTGTTTGAGCCAAAGGCAGTTCTACTGTTGGCCTCAGTGTGTACAGAGCTGGGCCAAGAGCAACTGTTTTCAGGGAAAACTTGTCCCAAAGGTTCGAACTCTGAATGGAAGGTACCTGAAAGGTTTTCCACACATTCCCAATTGCAGGAGGCTGTTCCAGTAGGCCTAGTCCTCTCTGAAGTGAAAGACCTGCTGCCTCTCCTCTTTAACAACCTTTTCTTCTAGGACTGTGTGCACTTCCTGTTTTATTTTATTTCATTTCTATGACCCTTGAAGAAATTACAGGGGACTGGCCCCCTCATCCTGACAGAAGAAGAGAAGAGGACGCTGATAGCAGAGGGCTACCCAATCCCTACCAAACTGCCCCTGACAAAAGCGGAAGAGAAAGTTCTAAAAAAAATCCGCAGGAAAATAAAAAACAAGGTAAATGTCAGTTAGCTTTGCTGGGTGGTTCCTACTTGTCCTTCATTTTAAAAAATGCGGCTGCATTCTGCAGTAATGGTCTGTGGTACTGTTCAGCACTGTAAGTTGCCTTTTAGAAAACAAAGTGCTTTACTTTGTTCCTAAACACATCCATCAAATTGTCTGTCAGTGTGAGTGTGCCTCAGAGTAGGTATTTACCTGACCCCATTAACAATGGAGTATTTAGCAGGCAGGGTATCAAGCTGCTGTGGCTTGGCTCCATTTAAAAATCAGTACAATCCTACCCTTATGGTAGGCAAAGAGCTCTGTATTCTTTGCATGGTGAGGAAGGTGTTTTCTGTTACCTGCTTTAAAATATGACTGTGTCTTTCAGTGCACTAGTCTTTTGATCACTGAATTCAGTGACTTGTAAAGTAGATACCAAGGATACCAAATGCCCCGCAAGTATTTTTTTAAATTTATTTTTTTTCTTCTGGCATGAGGAAGATCCTAGGGAAGAATGCAATTTTTTTCAGACTTGGCCAACTCCGTTTTCTAAAGGATTTTAGCGTGTCTTTTGTGGTTACTATGTTCTGCTACTGGTTTTGCAGATATAGGTGCAAATTTGGACACACTAAATTGGAATTTGGTCTTGTAATGTGCTTTTTCAAAATTTTCTGAGGTGATCTTGTGTATTTCATGTACCAATTACGTAGAATCAGAGTCATTTATATTGAGGAGAAATCTGGAGGTCCTTTGGTCAAAGCCCTGGCCTAGAAAGCAGGGTCAGCTTAGAGTAGGTTGCTCAGGGTCTTGTCCAGTCAGGTTTTACTGTCCCAAGGGGTGATGAGTCCCCTGTGTCACTGGGAGCCATGTTCCCATATGAGGCCACTCTTGTGCTAAAAGCAAATAAATAGAATCCCTAATGTGTGATTGGAACTTCCTTTGGTGCAACTTGTATTTGATGCCTCTTGCCATTTTGCTGTGTGCCCCTGGGAGCTCTGACATCATCTTTGCTGCGTGAGATAGTTGAAGAGAGTAATAGGATTCCCTTCTTGTCCTGGCATGCTTATTGTAGCAGAGATCTGCCTCTGGGCTTGCTTCTGTACATCCAGAGGGTTTATTTCTGAGCCCTGGACTGCACTGCTGTACTCAACTGTGGTTCTGCAGCCACTGAACAGAAGGGTAAGAACCACTCCTCTGGAGCTGCTTACTGCAGTCTCATTGATGCAGACCCATGTTTGGTTGTCTGCTTTTCCAACAGGGGCACGCTGCTAACAGATGTTTGACTTGTTCATCAGGACCCCATGTCCTTGTCCGCAAATCCTTTTGAATACATTAATGGGCTTTTTCTGTCCCAGATGCAGGACGTCGTCCTGGGATCATCTTTTGGTATTTGTCCTAGGGTATCCTCTCCAGATGAATCTGATTTACTTTTTAAGGTTAGCAGGGGATGGTCTTTTTTGTGTGATTGAAAGGAGGAGTCTTGCTTCAGAATGTGGAAATAGATCAAGTCAGTGCTTTGCTTGCCAGTAATAGAAATGAGAACAAGACAGAAGCTTGAATCTGATAACACTGGGGTTTTTTAGCAGTTTATTAATTTGTCTCTGATGCTTTTGTTTTCTGTGCAAATATTTGTTGTTTTTCCTCCTTTTTCCTTAGATCTCTGCCCAGGAAAGTAGAAGAAAAAAGAAAGAATACATGGACAGTCTGGAAAAAAAGTAAGCCAGCTTCCTTCCTGTTTCAAGCAGGCCAATAGTACTAGCTGTGGGACTGGGAAGGGATCCAGCTGTGGCTGCTGGGACAGTTCCATGCACAGAGTTCCAGCTGCCATCTCGTGGCAGTGACTGAGAAAAGGCCTTGCTCCTGGCAGCTGCTTGTCGGAGTCGGGACTGTGCCCGCCTGCAGGAGGTCGCTAACGTGCCAGGAAACACTTTGCACCTTAAATTAGGCAGCCTTTGCCTAAAAGACCCAGCCTTTGCCTCAGGCAACTGGCTTGGCCTAGTGGACAGGCAGTGCTTAGGGAAAGGTGGATCCAGAGTGAGTAAATTCTGTCTTCTAGTGCAGATGAAGACAGAAATAGGAAGTGGGTGAGTCAAGACTGCCTGGGAAAATAAGCAGGACGCGGGAAAATAGCATATGGCTTATCGACTTCCCTTAGCAAGCAGGAATCCAGTGAGTGATTTGTATCCCAAATTAATATTTCTTCCAGGAGATGAATATTCTAGTATTAGTCTTATGCAATTCATCAGATGGTTCTGTTAAAACCCTTGTACCATCTATCCTTGAAGCAATTTCCATCTTTCTTCTTATCTCTTTATAGCTCTGTCTCACTTCCTCAGAGTTACTCTTCTGAAGTTCCACCTCCTGCATCGCAGAAATCAAGGCTATTTCCTTTTCCCTTTTTTCTTCTCGAAGCTATTTGGGATAGTCCTGTTTGTCTTCTTAGGAGTCACATATTTTACTCAGCCCTCTTACACGTTATATGGCAGTCCCCTTTAGTTTGGGGATTTCTAGGGACAGTTTGGAAACGGGTAGTATCTTGGGACAGTCTTTAGCACTGTTTTTAATCTTGTGGCTTATTAGTCCTCATCAACTTGTAATTTGAGGCTCTGATTTCAGAAGCGTAGCATTTGCCAGTCAGGTAATTTAACTTGTGCTGTGTGTTTCACACAATGAAGTGTGATTAAATATTACGACTAAAGTTCATAGGTGTAATGTTTCTTTAAATGTAGGCAAGATCATAGAGAAGCTCCCAGAGAAAGCCAGTTTGGCTTGTTTTACAATCCCTTGAATAAATAACGGATGTTTTTATATTTCTCTTTCATTGTGCTGTCTCCAGAGTTGAGACCTGCTCAAATGAAAACAGTGAGCTGCGTAAGAAGGTTGAAGTCCTGGAGAACACAAACAGGTAAGGTATGGAGATCATCAAACAAAACTTGGTAGCGGGATGTTACCATGAAGAGTGAAAATGTGGAGTTAAGAGATCAACTGAAATGTGAACCATAGATGTGTCTGACAAGGGTTCATGTCCGAGAAAGATGTGGAAGGCCAATTATTGTGACTGCAGTGGGATGTAAAGCACGGAGGTTTTGATGTCATGTCTTAAACTGCCTCCCCAGCCTGTGCTGTGCTTGAGAAACCTTTTAGCACTCTTCTCTGAGTTCTTCCACTGCCCAAGGGAATGCAATTAGTAATACAGGACAAAAACCCCCTGCAGTCCAGCTCTCCCAGTTGTCTTTATTGAGTGAAATTTTGCCAGGAAGCCTTAACCTGAGACATGACTCTTGCAGAAATTACAGTGATGCAACTCAAGAGTCATTATTAGTTCTTTATGCACTACTAGATGTCATTGCAATTATTGTGCAGCCTTCTAAGCGTCTCACACTCCAGAATTCCCTTCATTTGGAGGGGAAAATCACCTTCTTGCTTCTTTGTTTCTGAAGAAATGGGTGACTCAGTGGTGGCTTTTTCAAAGGACACATGGCAGAAAATATTGAATAGCTAAGCTTTTCATTGGGTGTTAGCTGAGGGTGCAGTGCCAATCATGGCTTATTCCAGTGTCAGTGTGGCAAATTCCAGTGAGTAGGTACTAGATGAGCGTACTCTTAACACTTCCCAGTTAGAGGCATTTGCAGTGATGGTTGAATATTACAAAGGAACATGATGGTGACACTGAAGTGCGGGAGGAGGTCGGATTTTGAACATAAGACCCACGATCATGAAAAATGGCCTTAGAGCTGGTCTGGCAGCTAGTGCACTGCTTGTTGAGTGACACGTGTTGTTTCTAATGTCTGGATCCAATCTCTAATTTCATGAAGCCAGACCCTGTGGCACTGTGACCTGCTGGAGAGTGTCTCCCACACACTGCTCATGCATAAAGACATCTGCTGCTTGCTTGAAGAGAGCCAAGCCATTTCTGTGCCTCTTATATATCGTCCTCCAGGGTTTGACATAAAAGAACCAAGAACTATTCTGTAGGTGTGGAGTAGGGATGTGTCACCCAGAATCTGCCCCAGAAGGTACTGAAGCCAGCCTCTCTTAGGAAAAGGTGCAGCTGTAGATTATCCCCTTGGGGACAGCATGTTGTCACCCCTGAAGTTGTTCTCCCCAGCTGAGATAAATCTGGCCAGCTGTTTTCATCTCTGAGCTGTTGAGGATGCACTGATGAGAACAGCTTTGTTGGTGTTGTCCATCCTTTCAGAAAGGACCTTTAGCATCTTCTGTATTATTTGGTTCTCTTAATTCTTTCATGCTAAATGCTCTAAAAAGTTTTAGGTAAGTAATATTATCTCCAAATCCTTCCTACTTGGGCCATGTGGGATGAGTTGCATTGTTTCCTTCCATCTGCAATTGCATCGATATTGATCTGTAATATCATGCAGAGAAGCAGATGCTCGTCCTGCTGCACAGAAATTCTCGTAATTCATGGCAATGCAGTTTTGGCTACTTAGACATAAAATCTAAATCTGTGTCTAAGATCTGCTAAGGCTTACATGTGAAGTACTGAGAAATTTGTTCAAGTGCCTGCTTTCATCAAAGCTCAGCTTCGTAACATATCATACAATAGCGTTTTCCACCTTAACTCCAAAAAGCCACTTTTCCTATTTACTGTATAATTGCGCAACTGTCTCATTCGGAGAATGGTTCCAGGCCCTGATTTAATGTACATTATGCACATTCTACCGTGAATTCAAAATGCCTAATTTCCTCATTGGTATTTGCACAGAGCCTTGGCATGATGTCCAGAAACTGTTCACATGCTTCAGAACTTGTCTTGACAGCATCCTGTAGCTGGAATTTTCATCTCCTGCATAGAGTCACAGAATCAACAGAATCTAAATTGGGAGCAGCGATGGTCAAAATTATTTAGTGTCAGTTTGGTGTGTCAGATGCCCAAATTGATGTGTTTAGGACTTTATTTCTCAAAGTACCTAGCACAGTTATGCACATATGTATCTTATTTAATATGTCCAAAGCAGAAGCCTAGTTGACTTTAGCTGTAACTTTGAGTGTTGATTTCAGTAAAAAATGAAGACATGATTGAAGATATTATCTAAAGTTAGGTCTACGAACATCAGAGCTGCTCTCCCATTGTGAAAGATTGTAAGAGTGGAAGAAAGATAACCAGGAAAAGAAGAGCTATGATTCCATGTTAAAAGGATGCATTCAATTGTAGATGTAGACCACGCTGGATTTTGGCCTTGTTGAAAAATTGGGCTGTAGTTGCTTCCCTAAAAGTTGATGAACATGTATTTCTGTCAGTCACTATCATGTTTGTGTAGTCTAGCTGGACTGAGAGGAACTGGCCCTCTGCCATCGGGGAGAACTGACTGGGGGGAGTGGGGCCAAGTGACCTCCGTGGTGTCATGTGGTACCGCCCCCCCCCAAGGGCAATTTCCAAAACATACAACTATTGAACAGCAGTTTCCTTTCAGTATGTGCTATCACATTTTAAGAGTATGTTCATCTATATATAGAAAACATTTGCATAGATACATACCTACGACTTCAGGAAAACCCTGCTTGCATTTCAAAATCTGCCTCCAAACCATGAAAACACTAGACCTTTTTTTTCTGATCAAAGTGTTCCTTCATTACTCTCAGTAACATGAAAAAATTTACAAGATTCTTCCTTGAAAGCCAGCCTTAGCCTGAAGAGATGAGTCTGAAAAGATGTCATGTCAAAGGTGCAAGTGTGATCAAAAATTTGCATTCAGGAGTATCACCCTTGGCATTCAGGCATCTTAAAAGACAAGGCAAGAGGGGATCAAAATGCCGGAGCTTTTAATTCTCATTAATCTGAGTTGGTGCGTGCTGTGTTTTTGTCAGCTTTAGTATTAGAACACTAGCATATGTTACCTCTCCTAATTTGTATGACTCAACCCCTTAAAAGAAGCCTATCCAAGTTCCTTCCTAGGCAGTTTTCTTCAAAACTAAGGAAGCACAGGATTTCATGCTTATCTATTTTGTCTTATAGCCACAAGTGAGCCATTGGTTTGAGTAGCATCTAAACACGTGGGACGCTGCTCTCTTAGAAAGCAAAGGGTGTGAGAAGAAGCTGGCGCTGGCTATTGAACTGAGTTGTCCCAGTCACCAAGAAGGATTGACCCACTCACATTTTGCCACTGAGACTAAAGGCAGAAACTGCCAGTGATCCAGAGGGTTGCAAACATTCTCTGACACTTGCCTTGTCAGAGACACCAGTGTGTCTCTGACACAGCTACCTGGGAACCAGCTCTATTTGGGCTTAAAGCATTTGGAAACATCTGGTTCTGGGTATGATGTGTTGAGAAGTGCTTTTGCTACTCCCTTCTGTTGAGTCTGTGTTTGTAAGTATCTTGATCCCTTTTCCTAGAGAAATGATAGATATGTGATCCAGTGCATGAGACTGTCACATACGGACAATGAATGCAAGTGGCTGCCAGAGTTGCTCCTGTGGAGTAACAGTAGCCAGCTGTGTAGATCTGCACTACCAAGCACCTTAAAGGCAATGCCTTGTAAACAAAAACGGGATATTTTTTCACTTCTCCAATTCCCAATCATCTAAAGATCAAGTTGCACATCAGTCTGACCCACCAAAGGTTTATCAGCACCAAAGCTGCCAGACTTCACTGATTTGCTTGGTTGTTCTTATATTTGAGACTGGTAAAGTCATTTTACCAAATCATTTTCAAGGAGAAAAGGATCTAGGTTTAAGTTGCAATGAGATATCTTGCACTTAATTTCGGGTCACCCTTACAATGTTTGACAAAGCTTGGCAGCCCTGGAGTAACTCCTTACTTTCAGACCAGCATGACATTGGTTCTCATGCTGTAAGATCTTTTATGAAAAAATTGCTGGAGATTTTTTTTTTTGTAATTCAAATGAGAGAAAATTGTGGATTTAAGTGGTCTTTGAGTTAAAATCTTACTTTAGGATTTGTCCCCTTTCCTACAAATGGGACAGGCAGAGAAGGGATCTCTGTGTAGAGTTAAAAGACAGAATAATTTTTCTCTGTCCTTGTCAGAATTAGGTTTTGGTCCTCACACCACAGGAACAGTCATCTAAAAAGTGTTTGGTGTCCCCTACAAGATGTCTTGTTTGTTTTTTTGTTTGTTTGAATTGATGTTGGATTTTTAAACAGAATACTGACTTGTGGAAGTCTCCCGTGTGTTTCTGTAGTGTTAAGTTTTGTCTACTTAATTGAAGTATCACTGGAAGCAGAAGGGAAGGCTTGACTTGGTCCTTACTTTAGTAGTGAAAGAGCCTCTTCTGAAGATGAATGCATGTGAATATGCACCAAAACCAAGACATCACAGACAGACAAAGTTGCTGGCAGTATGTAGAAGGAAGTGCAGGAGTCTTCAGTCACTTTACAGCTTTCCTATGTGGTGCTTCCATTGGCAGGGAAAAGCGTGAAAGCACGCTCACACCTCCTACGGAATTGACCCTCTAATTGAATATCCCTGGGAAATGTGTCAGACACAGTGAAAATAATCCCTGGGGGCACAGACCCCCTTAGCATGCTGTCTTGGAATTGTGTTTTCTTCTGTTAGGACGTAGCCATAGGCTGTGTATTCCACTAAAAGCATTTGTAGCCTTTCTACTGCTATTTAGAGGGAACATCATAGTTTAGGAGAGTCCCTTTTCTGCAGGGTAGAGATCTGCTCCTTTAGCCTTTCCTGGTCGAGATCATCCATGCAGCTGTCTGGTCACAAGCTTTTGCATGAGAATCTTTTGACCTCAGAATCCAGTCCTCCACCATTTCAGATTCAAATAGAGAATAAAATCACCGAGAAGTGTCTCATTTTGCCAGTGGCAGGATAAACTGATGTCATCTCTGATCAAACTTGTTTCTTGTTCTTGCCTTGGTTCTTGCTCACAGTTGGCAAATGCACCTGTATCCTGTCAGCTCCAAACACTGAGTCCTTCTCTGTTGAGAATAAAACAGTAGTTCTGCTCAAACAGATTAACGACTTGGGAAGAAGGACATCTTATGTGAAGGTATTTGCTAAATAAGGTGGGGGATATATCTTCCTCTGTGTATAGGAGACCTCAGAATACCTGCCTAATTATACTTTCCAAAAAGACTGTTTTGTAATCAGCTCTCTGGGCCCACTCTGCCCAACAGGTTTTTTAAAATGAGTGTGAAAAGGCAGAGATGAGCAAAATGTGGAGAATAGCCTCTTCTCTTTTGATTTCCTCACCAGCCATTAGCTATTTTCTCACTGACCGCTCCACAAAAAGTGGCAAGAATGATCTGCATTTCAGGGCTGCTGCTGCTGCCAACCCCCGAGCTGAGGAGGAGGAGAGCTCCTTCCTCCTCACTCTGCAGAGCTGTTCTGCATTGAGCCCAGTGAGTCAGGCCTAAAATGGGGGAAAGATTTAGTCTTCCGAAATACTACAGAAAGTTCAGGGATGAAAGGGCATTGCTGTCTAACCTAGCTGGTGGCACGTGGTGGGAATACTGTGGGTGATGTGTTCTGTGCCAGGAAATGATGTACGCAAGTCTGGTGTGAGGTTTTGGTCCTCCGGGTGCTCTTAGGCACCCACACTGTCAGGTTGTTTTCTTCTTTAAAACGCCAAGCAAGTTAATCGTTGCTATAAAGTTATTTATTGCAGAAGCAGATCAGTCTCAAAGGCAAAACAAAGCAAAGCAATGGCAAAAAGCAATGGTAAACGCAGTGGCAAAATGCAATGGCATAAAGCCATGGCATAGAGCACCAGCTCTCCCTAATGCATGCTCTTTTACAGAAACTTTCCAACTAGCTAAGACACGAACTCGGACCACTACTTCCTTAACCTATTAGAATTCTAGTTTCTTAGCACACCAGACTACGTATAAACTACGTCCATGGCCTATCTTATTCTAACTGAAAAATGTAAGCAATATTCTTAACTATAACTGTTATGTCTGAAGCTAGGTTCTTGGAGCCTTGAAGGAAACACTAGTATGTTTTTTCAACCTTCACTAGAACTTATACTACTTCTCAGGCATCTAAGACCTTTTACTTACTAAAAGCACTTAAAATGTATTCCATTTACTTACTTTCTCCATCTATTCACTTACTCATTCCATCCAAAGGCTTTAATTCAATCCCTGCACTCTGATCTATCTCTGAAGGACTCAGAGAGACCCCTTTCTTACTGACTCCATCGTCTGGTAAATCCTATGCCATGCAGTGGATGTCAGGAGGAACTGGGGAAAAATGCCAAAGGGAGCAGGGATTAAAGATGGTCTCATTTATGTGGTGGACACTGTTTGCATCTCTTAATTTGCCTGTGGTCTCTGTATTACTGAATAAAGGATTGCATTGGGCATATTGCTCTCTGTTTTAAATACTGAGTAAGAGTAAGCCATGCTCTCAAGAGCATGCAAGATATCCTTTCTCAACAAGTTGAGAAGGATCTGCTGGCCCAGATAAATCTGTGCTGTGAGAATGCCTTGTGCTCATTTCAGAATGTATTCCTGAAGTCCTTGAATTCATTAAACCCTAATTAGCAATGAGCATTGATGATTAAAAAATCTGTGAAAATAGGCAGACCAGTGTATATTGAGCTGTGAAGGCACCTCTGGGTCTGTCCTATAATTAGCTTTTAGCCTGTTTGGACTTAAAATACTCCTTCTATTTTCTCTGACATTCTGACCTTGCCTCTTGCATTAGCTTTTGATATAACAGCCTCCAAAACTGTCTGTTTTTTATGGAGTTTCTATGGGGTATCCTCCACAACAGATTGTGAAACTTATAGGGGAAGTGAAAAGTAAACTTGGGAACTACAGCATATTTAGTATCTTGACATAAATTTTTACTGTATTTGTGTTGAGGACAGGTTTTTGAGTTGCTCATAGATTGTTAAAAAGCTGCTGTGAAAATCCTGTGCCAATCATACTTTGAGATTATTTCCCTTTTAAATTACTTCAAATTACTTTACTTCCCATTTATATTACAGTGTTCTGACCATAGTAATTGATGCTATAGCAGAAAAAGCCAGAAAGGCTCTTCTGGTCTGGGACTGTTGAATCCAACCACAAGAGCATTGTCATTGTGGTTGGGACCTCTGAAAGGCCCAATCAGAATAGCCACTTGGAGCATGTGCAGTTTTTGTCAACTCTGCAGCGTTTAACAAATAGCATTAAATTATTTTATTTAATAAATGAATGTGAGAAATGAAGCCTGTGCCTATGTCTGGTTTTGAGTCCTTCTCTTTAGAAGTCAGCCAACATGTGTTCTAAACCACTAAACAGCACCTTTTTGGGAAAAGGAGGTTTTGATAATCAACTGTATAACTAACTAGAGCAGTTGGAGGTTTTGGTAACTAACTGGAGCACTTATAAACTCGATTTTGCATCTTTGAAAATAATGGCAAAACTCCTGCTGAATTCATGACATAGAGTCAGGTTATATATGCAGCTGCTCACTTGCATGTAGAGCAGTTTCAGTTGTTATTGTGCCATTTTGTATAGAAACACTGAAAATACAAATTTTATTTATAAGAACTTACTGAGAGTACTAAAGAAGTAATTGTTCAGAGACAGTTATCTGAAGGAAAAGCGAAAGATCTTAAAAGTTCCAGTGCTAATACATGTGAAAACTTTTACATTAAAAATTAAAAACTTTACTTGCTAGTAATTTCAAGGAGAAGATTTTTAACTATCTCTACCTTATTGTAAATGTTCTGTTATTTCTATGTGTGGAATTTGAAACAAAAATCTATTTAACCAACAAGAAGGGCAGTGTGTGTGATGCTTGTCTGTTGTCTTTGCTTTCCAGAACACTTCTGCAGCAGTTGCAGAGACTCCAAGCCATGGTTGCTGGCAAAGTGTCCCGCTCATGCAAGGCAGCTAGCACACAAACAGGGACCTGTCTTATGGTGAGTGGCACTAAGGTTGGGAATTGTAAGGGAATGAGAATCTCTTTCCACTCCTCAAAGGCACATCTCTTGTTCTGCAAAGCATCTCAATGGCAAATTTGCAGCTTGGGAATTCCTTTTCATGATTTGATAATTTTGAGGGAGGTGAGACTTGAGAGTAATGAAGATTAATGATGGTGGGAAGGTACTGAGTTCTGGAGGAGACTGGGCCTGTGCTTTTGGTTGGGTGCTGCAGTGATGAAAGAAGCAGCTGTGCTCTTCCAAGGGATCACTTTATTATTTCCTGAAGTATTATATGTGGGAAATGGTGTCTAGGGTTGTAAAATAAAAATAAGGGTGACCTTTGAGGCTCGGTTCATTTTATAACAATAAAAATAAACTTGCTCAACCAAATAAAAATATGGCTGAGGCTGTAAATCTACCTCTGTGCTATTTCAGTAGTAATAGTAGTCAAGATAAGAAAACAAGTAGAATGAAACATTTCCTTTTCCCTCCTTACACTCAGCTAGCAAGTTCCCTTTATACCTAAAGTGCTGTAAATTGATGGAAATCATTTACAAGGCCTAAGCTGTTCTCCCAGTCTAGGCTCATTTTCTCTGGGAAGCAAGACTGGGGCTAGCAGCAGAAATAATCTTGGAAATTCTCAGCAGTACCTGTAAAACACATACAGTAGCTTTATCTGCATTTCAACTTTATGAGTAAATAAGGCAGCTGGTCAGAATAGAACAGACATTGAAAATGAACCCCAGCATTGGAATGTCCTCTTTAAAACACTGAATTGTAATTGTATAGGTGCCTTTGCATGCGATGAAAATGGCCTCAAATGATTTGTTTTGATAAAGTATCAGTTCTCTTGTGCGCATGGGGATCAGGTGCACTCACTTCTCCTACATCCTCCCTTTGCCAGATGGTGGTGCTGTGCTTTGCAGTAGTTTTTGGCAGCTTCTCTCAGAGCTATGGGCCATATCCTTCTGCTACAAAGATGGTGTTGCCCAGGCAGCATTCCTCACCAGAGTCCTACACAGATTCCATTGGTAAGTGACAGCTATTCCAGTCTTGCTATTTGCTTGGTTGTACTTAAGCACTTGTTTTCCACACCCTTTCCTAACCTCCTTCTCAAGCACCTCTTGCATTTCTGCTCCTTAAGTGGCAGGTTTTTATATATACCTGTGTTTTTTCTAAGGATAACTTGGCAAACTATGCTGATGGCAGCAGACTTCATAAAAATGAGCAAAACCTTTTCCCCACTATCCTTCTTGGTACTTCTGTTTAAAGAATTTTTGCCTCTGTTGGCAGAATTAAAGTTAGTGAAAGGTAGCAGGGTTTCTACTCAGTAGCAAATGTTCATACTGTTAAAATGCACAGATTATTTCAGTTACTGTTTACTTTGCCAGTGTTACCGAAGAGTCCAAGGACAGAATGGGAAACTTAGTATTACATAACTATAACGAACCAATATATTATCAAAGTTATTATTTAATATTGTTTTTGGTTTGTGAATAATTTAGAGCTTTTTGATCCCTACCTGGACCATTCCTGTGGTTTCTTTCTTCAGCTATCAAATTGCCAGTTAATCACTATGAAAAGAAAAGGCCTTTGCAGCTTTGGCTCTGGCCTAACAGTTTACATTTCCTGAAATGATCAGGGCTGTTCTCTAAGCTGCCTATTGCTCATCTCATTTTGCCTTCTGTCTTTGTATGCAGTGAGGTCAAGGAGTCTACTAATTTATGAAGAGCCTCACCAACTGGAGGAGCCATCAAGCCAGATCTCCTTTGCAGATCGCAATGACAGGCAAACAGACACCTCCAAGTTCACAACACTGTCCCTGGAAGCTGTGTCAGGGACACAGCAGGATGATATCATGCAGTTCACAATAGCCAACGAGACAAGGCTAGAGAAATCAGTGCTTCTGGGCCTGCAGCAGCATAGGTGAGTGCAGGGTGGGCTTCTTGTCACATGGATGTTCTGTGTCACTCTTGTTCGTGCCTGAAGGCCAGAGGCCAGACTAGCAGCTCAGCTATGCTAGGCACCATGAAGCATGAAGTAAGAGTTTGTTTTTTATCTGGAGAGCCTATAGGCAAAGTCATTGTTGCTCTGGAGAAGTGGTTGCAACAGAATTGTAATAATACAGCTACCAAACTCGGTACTTCTGCCAGAAACCTAAACCCTGTAAGCCTGTTAGTTGGGCCTGCCCATTTCTTTAAAGCACTTAATTTTAAGCTTCCCAAAGGAATAAGCTTTTGGCAGTTGTATGGAAGTGTGAAGTTTTGATTCACTGGGATTTCAATGAGGTTAGGGCATGAACAGTTAGAGTTTCTCACAGCAGTGATCTTCTGCAGCATTACTGCAAAAAGTTTGCAGGAGTCACTCTCAGGAGACCGACATGTAAAATTATCTGACTCGTTAAGTTCCTACACTGAGTTCCCTCACTTTTAGCATGAATGTAAGGGGTTTTCTCTCTTTTTTTCTTTTTTTTTTTTTTAAACATAAATGTAAGTTTTCCAGGCCTCTGAAAAGAGAGAGAGTTACTGGTTTAAATATATATGCTTCTTCCTGCTTCACCTTTGCTTGCCTAGAACCAAAGAGATGACTACTTGAGTATAATTCAGTATGTTACTAGACTCAGCTAACTGACAAATACCTACCTGGTAAATACTGAATGGCTCTTTAGCATTAGCCAAATCAAGTAGGATATGTACTTTAAAAAATTACTCTCAGCGTTAACCTTTGTTTTTTTGTTCCCTACAGAGTCAACTCTGAACTAGAAGGAAATGAAACACTGAAGATAATTGAAATAGATAGAAGAGTCAATGCCACCTCTTAAAAATAAAAAAGGCCTTTTTGCTTGACTTCCCTCTTTCCCACATATTTTCAACCAAAGTTCCCCTGACTTGTCATTCTCAGTGAACCAAAGTACAAAAGAAAGGGAGTTCAACTTCTGCATTGACTGGTGAGGCTGTGACTACGGATGGGATCTCTTGTCTTTGTAACTCCCTTCATGTTGCACACAGTCCCTGTCTCTGCTTTTATCTCTTTCCTGTCTAAAACTGCAAGGGGAGGATTGAATTATGATGGCAGATGATGCCAGCAGTGTGCCAGTGACTGGTGGGTGTGTGTGCACCTGTACATGCATACAGCCTGATCTGAGCACAAAGACATTCTGGAGAAGAATTGTGTGAAACCAATGGGAGCATGTGGGTGATAGGTTTCTTGGGAGAAGGTGATTGAGAGTGAGAGGAGATGCAGCATGATGGTGCTTAGAGTCTCACCACAGCTCTGTGCCTACTGGTCTACAGCACTTGAGCCTTTTTGGGGGGATAGAAAAGCACATGTGCAGCCTGCTTCTGAAGGGACAGGAAAGGGCCCTGACACTGCGGAGTTTACAGCACAGGCAGGAGAGGGCTGGTACATGATGCTACTGAATTTCCTCCCCTAGCTCTCTTCTCCCCTGCAGTCTCTTAATCCCTTAGCAGGGTAGGTTTCTCTCTGCATTGAAAGCAGTCCTGGTAGGCTTCCCTGCTTCCACCCTTGAGAAATTAAGCAAGGATCAGTCACTGTCTTACCACACTCTGTGTGGGAGAATTACACTAGTTTAACTAAATCTGTTTAGAAAGCAGGTTTTGTTACATTTATGCAATATTTTAGATGGATGCCCTTTAGTCTGCTTAAGGCTAATCTATTTAGCTTAAGTCAGTTCCTTCCCAACAAACTAAATCAATGCAAGGCTTAAACCAGAAGTGCCTCCTGAGAGGACTATATGGAATTAATTTACTGGCTTCTAGCTGGTGGATGAAAATTCTTGTGTAGACCTGGTCTCAGATTGTCTTGTGTTTTTCTTTCCTTGCCATCTTCCTGTTACTGTTGTAAATAGTATTTATTAGCTTAAAAAAATTCTGTTCAGGCAGTTGCAATGAAGAGAACTGAGCATTCCTAACCCTGCAAGTGATCTGGGCAGACCCTGGAATCAGACACACAAACAGCTCTGAACACCCACTTCCTCCCCTTATGCTTGAATTGTCCTAAAATAAAGCCATGTGTCTTATTTTCCTCTTACCTGCTTTTCCAGAGATGTGATCTGAGGCCAACTGCTTTGGGTACAGGTAGGCCCAGCTCATGCCTAGAGGTGATCGGTACTGTGTTAACTGTATGGCAAGGCAGCCTCTGATCTGAGGAGCTGATTATGTAGGCAGGAGACCTGTCAGAAGAGGAATGAGATGAGCATGTGTGGAGGTGAAGTGGCTGGCCTGGGCTCATTGAGAAAGCCAAGAGCAGCATTCAAGTCTGATCCTGGTCCAGTACTCTTCGCCATGGTTTGTTTCCTTCTTGTACCTGTTGTACGTGTTGCTGTTGTCTTCAAGTGTCCTCTCTCAGTACCCTGGTCATGCCTTTGGCTGAGCTGTGCTTCTTGTAGTTTGAACTCAGTCCGGAATTTGAACAGGGTTTTATCTGGTTCCTACAGAAGGGCACTCATGCTCCATTGAGGATGGATCTAATGTGAAAATCCTAATTCAGCAGGCTAGCATAGCTGCTTTAGAGTTTACCAGAAGAAGTAGATTTTTAAAAAAAAGTAATTTGAAGCTCTGTTTATTTTTTCCCTAATGATAAATAAGGGAGAAACTAACATAGCCTTACAAATAATTTTTTACTATGTACGGTAGATATTTCTTGCAACTATTCTATTTTGTAAAAGACTGAATTTGTATTTTATTACAGCAGATGTCACACCAGCTTCTTTCTTGTTCTTCATTCTCCTTAGACTTTCTTCCTTTGGCATCCTATTTGCCACCCTCAGGCCTGACCCAAAAGTCAGTGAAGTGAATTGGAGGGGACTGTGGATTAGTTCCCTTTGTGCCATTTTAAGAAGGTGTTTCATGTCAGTGAGAGTGAAAGAAGTGTCTGACTCCATGAGCCTATACTGACTTCTGGTGTACAGATGTGCTTTTCTAGGTAATGCCCTATTCTTCTATGCAAGTGCCTTATTATTTTCCCTGAGGTGACAATGAGAGGAGAAATGCTGTTGTAGTCTGTTTTGCAAGTGTTCCCATCTTGGCATGGGTCAACCTCCACCATAAAGTCTGTTTTCCTTCACAGTGATCCTGCTGGGTTCTCTGAAGTATTCCAGTATCCATTAATAACTTTTGTGTTTGGAGGTTTTTTTAAATGGTTTAAGGCTTCACAAAACAGTGATCACTTAGGAGTGCCGCAAGGGATGGCTGCATTGCTCAGCCACTTGAGGTCAGCAAAGTGACAGGAGAAAGCTGGGACTGACCCCAACTGGTCAGCATAAGTGGGCAAGGTCACAGTTTAGAAAATTCCTTAAATGGTCTTTTTTTTCCAGAGCACCCTTTGAGGACAACCAAGTGGTTAAATGTTTTGCAAAAGAGGCCCCAAGGTGTGAAGCACAACACCACTTACCGGTCTTCCAGTTTGCACTGTGCAGCCTGAGCTCCTGCCCACTGCCAGCTAAATGGATCACCTCCCATTTCATATACAGCTAGCTGACTTCACTGTGTGAAAACCGAAGTGGAATTATTTCTCAGCTCTTAAAGGGTAGATGATTTTGCACAACAAAATGGCTCCTCCTCTCTGAAACCTACTGCACTGACCACTATTAAAACTTTTCCCTTTTTAGTGGTTTAATTTGGGCATATTTATTCAAATCTGGTTGGAAGATAATTGTGTTTCCCTCCTTAGCATTTTAAACTGGCCATGGTCTAGGTCACGCCTCTGTACTAATTCATCCTAGCCAGTATGGCCATACTGATGTCTTAAAAGTGTTTGATAATCTATTGCTATAATCTTAAATTGTGTAATCCTTTAAGTTATTTTTAGGTACTCTTTTAGGGAATCTCTTGACCTAGCACACACATTGCTTGGGGATTTATTGTATTACATGTTGCTTTATAATAAGGAAAAGCTTTGCTTCACTTTGGTATGTTTGTGATTGTTTTTCTTCAGGGGCCTTAATAGAACCTTAATAGGTTTCTCTTCTAGGGGCCAAGGAATCCCCTGTCATCACCTACTCCCAGGCTGTTGTGTGGCAAAGACCCCACAATGTCCAGAGTGAGTTTGTGCCTGTGTTCTGTACCTAGCAGGGGACGGGGGAGGCAGGACAAGGTGCCATTGCACCGCCAGCCTCAGCATCCAGGAGTGACCCCGGTGGGAATGTTGATACATTGCAGACCACGTGGAAAGGCAGCCTCTGTGCTCTGAGTTAAGGGCACAGGGCAGGAGTAGTAAGGTGTATTCAGGGAGGATGCCAGTAAGTGCTTTTAGTTAGTTCAGCTCTATTACTTGAGGCCTTAGCCTTCTGCTAGTGTGCTTTTTCTGGTGATCAGTGGCTTGGTGCTGTGGAATCATATGTGTGTGTATGGATAGGGTAAGCAAGGGCGTTGTGTGCTTCATAATTTTCATTTCAAGTAGAGGACTTAAGTGATAAACTTAAGAGTCCTCAGCTGTAAGGTTATGTTGCTCATCAGCACAATTTTATACACACTAGTAAACTTACTTTTTGCCTATAGCTTTAAAGCATATCTAGATATGTTGGGTCTTTGCTTCTAGGAACATAAGCTATGAAGAAATGTAGGGCATTATTTTATATATATGTATATTTTAAAAGTCTGAAGCACAGGGCATGTGATGTTTCTACCGTTGTTACTAGTATGTAGATAATATTGGGATTTTTCCCTCCCAGGCTATTTGTAGTTCTTTGCTGCACTTCTTTCATTTTATCTGTACTACTCAATATTTTTCAGCAGCTCAGACTAATGGATTAGGCTGAGGTTCCTGGGCCAGATCCCAGCTGATACAACCGGCAGGGTTTTCACACACTGCTCTTGGAGGCTGCAGGTGTGTTTATACTGATAGGGGACCTCTTCTTCCACATCTCTCTGTGTAATAGTGTGTCTCGATGTATTCTTGATGCTTCTAACATAGATCAAAAATTAGTCTAAAAACCTTTTTTTTTCCCTGCTAAAGAAACCAACCCACCTCTCCACTCCCATCCCCCCAAACTGTCAGTGGTGAATTCTGTCTAGACGCTTCTAGAATGTAGGTCAAGTAAGTGAATGATACTAATTGCTGTGTTGGGAGGGATTTCCACTGAGTATTTGGGCTCTAGATTCTAGCTAATGCCAAGAGGCCATTGTTCAAAATCCACTGAGCTAAGAACAGAGGAATACAGAGTATTTTTATACTCCTGGTGACTAAAATATTGCTTTCTTGAGTCACTAATTAAAAAGGGAACATTTTGTATTCTGAAGGTGAAATGATAGGTCAGTACTTCGTAGCTACAAAAGTTGTCCCAGCCTATATAGTAGTGTGGTGCAATGATGTGTTGCTGCTTTGCACTGTCTAGCGTTAAAATTTAACAACTTCGGGGATTGCCAAGGGGAACGAACTGATGTATGTGTTTAGTAAGTTCTTTACAAAGCAAATGGCAGGATTCAATCCATCTTGTAGCTTTCTCATGGCCAATAAAGTGACATTGGGCATTCAGAGAATTTTTTGAAGGTTGATCCTGATTAATACTGCATTGCTTAGGCAGGTCAGCATCCACTGGAGATTCCAGGATTGAGAGGGAAATTCCAACTTGGTTTTCTCATTTTTATGTCATGCCTTTTCTGCTTTACCAAGGTATGTGTATATATATATGTGAGTCAAATTCATATGTAGAAAAAAGTGCATCATGCAGGAAAGTCCTTTGTGATGCTGTTTGGATCTGATGCTGAATGGAGTTTGGATATTCTTTATTAGCAGTAGTCTCGTCTGCCCTCAACCGATCTCCAGATTCCTCCTCCAAGAGCTGCAACTAAAGAGGTGAGAACAGAACACGGAAAAGCTGGATTTGTAGACCTCTCTTACAGAAAGGGTGGAAGAAAAGGCAGGTGAAGGGACTTCTCACATCACAGGGAAACCTATTTCTTGATTCCATATATCAGCAGTGATAGTCTCTTTGATTAGTTACCTGCTAGGTTTAGCTTTACTACTATTCCCCTTGCTCTTTAATGCTATGCAGTCCTGGTATGCAGTTCATGCATACCTGACCTTTATGTTATATTGCACTTTACCCTCTAAACAGCAGGTAAAAATCTTTTTGAACTTTAGCAGCCCATAATGAAGGGAGTGGAAGAGAGAGAGGGGGAAGCAGAGGCAGGTACTGTTTTTTTTTTTTAACAGAATTCTGCACATATCTGACTTTACCATAACAGATGTTAATTCAGTGGTGCAGATATAATGGCATCTTGCTTTCGTCATTTGTACAGTTAACGAGAACAAGTGTGAGTTTGTGTGCATCTATTCACATATGTGTGGTGAATGATCAAAAGGTGTCAAGAATGCAGAGTTTTATTAATGTGATAAATGTTGCTAAATAAAGGCATCTACCTGAACACACAGGGCACTTTGGGCTTGGTGCAGCAGAAAGTCGAGGCATATCTCTGAAACCTGTTCACATTCCACATTACCGAGCACTCGTAAAACTGTTGTGTGAATTGCTGTCTGTGATTTATTGTTGACTGAATGTTGTTGCACTATGTCATTTTTGTGTGTGTGCATAGACAGTCTGGCCTTTCTAGAGAACAGTTCTGGCTTGGTACCAAAAAAAAATTATTTTATATTCTGGTATAATTTGTGGTCTGCAGAATTATGACGTTGAGTGCTTTCTTTTTTTTTTGTTTGTTTGTTTGTTTGTTTGTCATTTTTTCTTTCTTTTGGGGGGGGGGGGGGTTGAGTTGTGTAAATTAGCCTTAAAAGGTGGTCCCTGGGAGCCATCCCTCGGGCACAGTAAGGTGCCAGCCAGGGGAAGCAGTTTCCTCTCAGAGGGTGGTGCAAGTACATCCCAGTTTCCCCCGAGATTGACTAGACCTTTGAGGTAAATTACCTGGTGTTGCTCTCTGGAAGATAAATATCCATGGCCAATTCCATTGCCTTGGGCCATGCAGAACAGCACCCTGTGACTGAGTCACTCTGCTGTGACACCCATAGGGCATTTAACTGATCTTTCCCTTTCCCTGTGTTCATGTGGATGCAGTATAGGTTTGTGCAAACATTTA